CATCGGGAAGCAAGGGTAGGATTTGCCCTAGAGTATTTAGCCCGAGACCAAGCTTTTTGGAACAGAGTCGTCTTTTCAGATGAAAAAGTTTTCCAGTCGTCTCGCAACGATTCTATAAGAGTCTATCCGGACGCGTGGTATACATTACTTTCAAACTACAATAAAAATCTATGCCTTTCGATGTCCAGACACTTGGCTAAGGTTGAAGAAGCTAATGGGGCCATGACAAAGTATTATATAGAATTGTAAATTGACCTTAAATTTTAAAGCCGAATCCGTTATTTCTATTTCGAAAAAAATAATCTGTAAATTTACAGCGCACTTAACAGAATTCTACTTCTTTTAAAATTACCACAATGAATGTCCACTAATTCTGACTCACTGAGCTTACGCTACAGCTACCTTCATGTAAGTGTCAAATGTAAAAGTTAAATATGACAGTCAAATATTTTGGTTAGAAACATCTAAAGGTTGCTTTACACTATCTGACGACTGAATGACATTGACGTCTGAAATTTTTTGGCGGCAACTGTATATGTGTGCATTGCCAAGACTTTTATAATAAGCACATTGCATCAAAAGATAGTTTGCAATTAAGGTTGAAAGCCATACTGTCGTGCACTTGAAGCATTTGGAGAAAAAATGTTTTGCACTATGAAAAACTAATTCACGAGGACTCGGAGAAGTTAATGGGAACATCACCTGTGAACAATATTCCACCCGTGGTTATAAATTTGGCGGAATCAGATTCGGATGAAGCAGAATTTGAGTTTGTAGACGAATTAGATTAATTTATTTACACTGACATTACTGACATTTTATGGAGAATTAATTATTCGGCTTGACCTTCTAAGCCGTTTTTAAATTGGAAAAATGATGTCCATAATTACATAGCTCAAAAAATAAAGAGACTAGATTTAGTTATTTCTAGCGATCTGAAATGGATAATACAGAACTCTAGTCTGAAGTCAGAATTAGATCTAATAATGATGGTTGTTTATTCACTCTATAACAGTACGTCCCAGCATAATTTGGCTCATATGAGAATTATTAAGCAAATCTAGAAACAGATGAACAGCAATGCAATGTGTTTGGTTCTGTTTAGAAGTCCAAATGACGTCGCACAAATTGAAATCACCAAATGTAAAAAAAATCACTGGGCAACAGTCATTTTGTGCCGGAAGCGTAAAATTATCAAATCTTACTAATTTACGTATACTCAATACAGTAATGACAATATAAAGTCCCCTTTGGTTATATAATATATTTAATTGCTATGGTCTTTTCACTAAATAGTTACCATCGAAAACAAAAAATAACTGACATCAACGCTCTTTGTCAAGTTGTCATTTTTACAAAAGAAAAATTAGTTTCAAGTTTTCTGTTGGTTCAAAAGTATATAGAGTACTTTTGCTTTACAATAATGTCGCGTAAGTGTAAAAATAGTAGTGACAGCTTGTGTCATATTTGCCGTGAATTCACATTAACGAAACAAAGAAGTCCTTGAAGTCAAAGAGCGTATGAGTAATATTTTGATTTTAAAATAAGAAATTTGGACAGAAGTTGGGTGCGGCATAAATGTTGTAAGAAATGTTCTTCAATTCTTCAAAATTGGTTAAAAGGAGAAAAGGATTCCACGAATTTAGCTGTGCCAATGATTTGGAGAGAGCCTACAGACCATATTACAGACTGTTATTTCTCTTTAACGCCTTCAGTGTTGGGAATGACAATGAAAAAAAGAAAATTAGCGGTCTATCCGAATCTTTCTTCGGCTGTTAGGCCAGTGCTACATGAAATAAACTTTCCTGTTCCAAAGTGTCCACAAGATGTTGGCTCGGCAAGTGGTAATTGGTCGCAAGTGGAAAATACGTCTGTCGTTTATGTCACAGATTCGGAATTTAGTTATAGTATACAGGAAGCATTCATTTATTTATTGTAGAGTAAACGTTAAGTTACGAAATACTAATATAGCATAAGTCAGCAACTAACATAGGATAGGAAGTGATAATTTATGAGCAGTCACGAATGTACATCGGTAGTGAATAAATGGGTTTAAAACGTTGAGTGTGTCTTCTTCAAATGGTCCCAGCAAAATAAATCAACATTTATTACATGGCGATCCACAATCCATTACAATAGTTCTTCCAAAGCTCCACATGTCATATCATTAGCAGAACTGAAAGACTTGATGAGGGAATCTTTTATCAAGTGAAGTAAGGGTCTCGAGTTTTCGAAACCGTGAAAAGCCATACGTGGAATTTTACATGATGAAAGATAACCTTGTATTTTGTGATAATGTTGATGCTCTTTTGAATACGTCAGGAGTCGAACATCGTCCAGATCCTACTCTTACGTTCGTTGTTCGAACCCTGGCGATGCTGCAGACCCCGAACACAGCGGGCACAGGGCGGTAGCAGAAGGATGTTACGTGCGTGCGTGCTGCTCTGTCGGTGGTCACCAATGAACGTAAGCGGAGAAAAATGTTACATTGGTGGGAATTGAACTCACGCCTCTCACTTTCCGGGCAAGCATTCAGACCACTAGACCAAGAGGCGACTATCTTTCTCCGCTTAGCGGCGTGTTATTATTCCGCCACAAAATAATAAAATAGTGCCTACCGGTACCGACTAAATGGGGTGGGTGAGACACACCCCCACCTCGTGACAACCCCAGGCACCTGCTTAAAAATAATTGGATATGGAAATTTTCAACAGATAAACTGCCATCGGTGCCAATTGCGCATGCTGTGCATATGAAGGAATCATCCGAAAATATGCGTTTGCAATACAATATGATGAAACCAACAGGCCCTTCGTTGAAGAAGTTAACAATCAAATTATTATCAGCCTTTTGAACAACAAACTCCAGAGCAGTTAAACAACAACAATAATTCGATGGCTGGTCCCTCATGTGGTACCACGTCAAAAACAGTTTGGAATTTCTCTGAAACTGAATCTCTAATAATAGCGGTGGAATCATATGTGCAGTAATGCTGATAAACTGTATGATGATATTTTTTTTCTCCCAAGTAAACTGTAATGTGTTCGTTTATTTAGTTTATAATAGGGATAGCTTCTAATTGTGGGTATGATAATAATTTAGTTTGGGAACGAATATGATCTTATTTACATTTTTATTTTACGTTGTTTATTTTATTTTATTTTGCTACTAGTTAAGTTAATATTGTCCAGTAATTAGATTGTATCTTTTGGGCAATAAACATTATTATTATTATAATCATTATATGAAGATATGTATCATCTGAGAAAAAAAATTAGGCTTTTGGATGCAAATTACAGACATACTAGCGAGTAAGAAAATTGATCATGTGAGAAATTTAAATACTTGTACATATAATAACAGTATGTTTTAATACAAAAATGAATATATTTTTATAGGTTATTTCAACGGTATGTAAAAAAAGTTGGAAAATCTGCTAAGAACTTATAAGGAGGTTAAAGATACAAAAAAAGAAAACGGGACGGGTACCGACAAGATTTTTGCTTTTTGAACTGCTTGATTGTATTTTAGGCGATAAACAGCAGCCCACATTCCATAGATATAGAAAGTGATCGAGATCTTGCAACAAGTTGGAATGGACCATCGAACTAAATATAGTAAACCAAAAGCTATAAGGTTATATGGCTATCTTAAAATTATCCCATTGTGTCGAAGTTAAGTTGTTTACAATAAGAGAGCAAAAACGGGCGACATTATTTGGATCCCTTAAGGGTCCAAAATTGACCCATTTCCATCGGGAATTCGCATGGAACACAGTCTTGGATTGTGTCACTGCGGTGGCCCCAGTCCGGAGGAGCCTCGAGGAGATTAAAAATAAATTTAGAGACCTTAAAACACCGCACAAAGCAGAAAGCAAACACTTTAAGCCGCGAGGCACCAAAGACCGGTGGAGGTGAAAATGAAGCTCCTTCACTGTCTGATGTCCATTTGAAGGTGGTGTCATTTATTGGAGAGGAGAGTATCGAATGTATCCATGGAGGCATCGATACATATAGAGAGCAGGGTAAGTATGTACCTTCTTATTGATGTTACTTTTTTCAGGTACGCCCTTAAAAATCAACATCAATAGCGTTGTTCACAAGTGATTACAAGCTTGTCTTTTTTTGAAATGTAACTCAAAATCTTGCAGCAGCCTTGTTTTATAATTTTTTTAAAACACAGCAAATTTGGATTCAAAATTTTTACAAATAAAAGACAAATCATTTGAATTTGATGTATTCAAACATTGAAAAAACGAATATGATTCGAATATGTGGAATGTATGAAAAACGCATCTTTAACTACCCGACAATATGTAGTCAAATAATGGAAAAATGTTTTTTTTAAAACCCTAAATTTGCCGTAACCGTTAAACTCATACAAAAGCATAAACGAACGATGTGCAATGTATTTTGGGTTCCGTTTTAAATCCATTTTACCTCATCACTCGTGAACAACCCGGTATTAATATATATGAATCAGACAGATATAATAAAATAAAGGTTTCATTTGACTGCTGCATTTATTTTAACGTTTTTTAGTAGTTAACGATCCTATAGAAAAACCAATTCCAATACATTTTCCTATAATCCTGCCAGTACCAACAGTTGAAGATGAGATGGAACCACAATCCCCACTCAATAATGGCAAAGGTATGTATTGAAATTTCTACAAAATTGTTTTTGAACACATTCACTATAATACTATTTAATTTTACTTAATAAATATTATACACCAAGTGAATCAAACATACGTTTATTCACGAGAAGATGTTGATATCACGAGCACGCAGTGCGAGTGAGATCATTTCTTCGAGTGAATAAATATGTTTGATTCACGCGGTGTATATATGTTTTTATTCCATTTTGACGAATTTTATTAATAAAATTTCAATAAATAAAAATTCGAATCGAGAAATCGTGTAAACTGCGAAACTAATTTTCGTGACAACCAGCTTAACAACCAGTTGTTTACATTTTTCTAAATTTGTGACACTTGCGGCATTTGTGTTTTCCTAGACAAAAATGTCTGGAATTTTGGAAGATAAAGACGAAAACGAAGTGTTTGTACCCTCAGCAGTCCTAGACGAAGCTTTGGAAGCTATCAATAAGGTGGTGCCAGCAAAATCCAAGCATTCATATGAAAAAGAGTATACGAATTTTTGTGAATGGAGGAAACGAAAGCATGCAAAAGGAGTAGATGAAAGAATAATTTTGGCTTATATTTCGGAACGGTCAAAAAATGCTAAATCTTCATCACTATGGTCGTATTATTCCCAACTGAAGAAGATGTTATCTGTGAAGGAAAATATTGATATAAGCAGGTTTGTGACATCGCAATGATTAATATAAGGTTTAAAATATTCATTATTATAGATTTCATCAAGTGTCAGCTTTCCTAAAACAACAGTCTGTAGGGCACAGACCAAAGAAATCCAAAGTGTTCACGCTCGAAGAAATGGAAAGGTTTTTAGATAATGCTTCTGATGATGAATATTTACTGCAAAAAGTAATTTTTGTCGTGGGAGTTTTTGGAGGATGTAGAATGGGTGAATTGGTGGCCATGTCAGTTGATGATGTTGAAGACAGGGGTAGCGTACTTGTAGTCCAAATTCCAGACACGAAGACTCATAAACCCAGAACATTTACCATCATCAATGGAAGTAACTCTGTTCCTGCTATTGACGTTTTTCGGAAGTACAGAATATTACGGCCTGAAAAGATTTCACACAAACGGTTGTTCATTAATTACAAGAACAAAAAAGTGCACGGTACAACCAGTTGGAGTGAACATTTTTTCAACAATTCCCAAAACAATTGCCCAATTTCTAGGCCTCCAAAATCCACAAGAATACACCGGTCATAGTTTTAGGCGTTCGAGTGCAACTCTACTAGCAGACTCTGGGGCAGATTTAACAGTTGTAAAGAGACACGGTGGCTGGCGTTCGAATAGTGTTGTGGAAGGATACATAGAGGATTCTCTGAATAATAAAATCGAAATTTCGAGAAAAATCATTGAGCGATCATCAACAATAATTGATAATAGATCTGCCTTGAATCCCGTAGCAGGCTCCTCTGCGTCAAATTCCGTGTCACAACAAGAAACTAATCATCAAGACATTATTTTGCCCATTCATCGGAAATTTGATATAAATTTTAATAATTTGAATAATTGTAACTTTTATATTTCACACTACAATGACAAAGACTAATTCAATGTTAATATTTTTGGAGAAGAAATAAAAATCTGTTCTTAATTGAAATTTTTTAATTCACTGAACGCTTTGATTCTACTAGTGAATTCAAACGCTTTGATTTCACTAGTGAATCATGAACTCCTTATGAAGGTTACTATGGAGTTAATAAAGTCAGTTTAAATTGTCAAAATGGAATAAAAAATCTTATTTGTTATAAAAGTAAACTCATGGCAATTGGAAAAAAAAATGCTAGCATTTATATAAAATACTTGATGTGAGCTATTGCTGTTAATTTTTCTGACTTGTAGAACCACTGAGTACCCCCAATAATCCTTCCCTCCCGCCAAAAGCCCCACTGCCCAAGCCTATCCCAAAGCAAAAAAAGAGCAGCGGAACCATTGCGGCAGAGCAAATGGTGGAAACAAGCCGCCTTCTTGATGAGGGAAATAATGTTTTGCGTGAGCAAAATACAATTTTATGGGAGCAAAATGCCGTTCTAAGAAACATGCTCCACGATAACAAAAGTTTACAGTGAACTTAATTAGCGAAATAAGAGATTTCAAGGTGCAGTTAGTTGAATGTTTTAAAAAGCGGACACTGGAAACTGATGATGAAATCGACGGGAAGAGAAGAAAACGTATTTAATTCTTTTGTGTTAATTATTTTTGTTTTTGTTTTGTTTCTTGTCATACCTATATTCCAATGTTTTTGTTCCAGCTTAAAAGTTTCTTTTCTTTTTGTAGTTTAATTTTAATTTTTTGATAAGTTGTTGCTCCTCAAAAGTTTTCACGCGATTTTTGGAGTTTGAACTTCTAGCTTTTCGTATTACAGGTGTCGGTGTCGGTATCGTGGACACCGACACCGGTCTGAACTGAGGCTGAACATAGGTATGTAACGCCGCGCTATAGAATGAGAGAGAGAAATAAACTATTTAATAAAATGTGTTCGTTTGACTGTTCCAACGACTAAATTAGGTACAATTGATGCCGTTTTCACACGGTTTATTACTCTTTTGAGAACTGATATTTATATCACTCATTTGAGTCACCATAGGCCACTAAAAAGGTATTAAATGATAGGGATAAAGATATCGAAGGCGATAACGCTATGATTGAACAGTAATTTGTATTTTAAATCGAATCATTTATAAATACTGCTCTAGCATTTGTAAATATTTACTTGTTACTTTAGTAGATAAATTACACATGTTGGTTCATAAAAACAGAAATGTACCAAAATAGTGGCCAGGTAACATGGGAGCAGAAGGCAAATACTTGGCGTACCATTGTAGATGAATTTAATTCCACTGTTGGAGGGCAATTTAAAGGGATGCAAATTTTGAAATGCAAATACGCCGATTAAAAAAAAGTTGCAAACGAAAGTTTGCAACGAACAAGGCCACGATTCTTAAAACTGGTGGAGGTAGTGAAGTGCAAATTTAATGGACACTGACGATGTGAATTCTACGATCAAAGATATCCAAGGAGAACAGATTGATGGTCTGCCAAGCGTTTTCGGCAGTGATTCAGACTTTGCAAATTCTTTACCACGTGCGAAATATTTTAATGCATACTTATAAAAATTTTTGCTTTTTTTTTTTAAATGAGAGTACAAGTCATATTTTAGATTTTTTATAAACGCTATTAATTTCAATAATTTTGAGTATACTTTCGTATTTATCTACCTTAAAGCATCCCACGAAAAAGATTCACCCCAAAACATAGAAGTTCCTGGTGACAAATACAATTTGCAAGTTCGTCCACAGTAACTGACAAAGCCGTCTCAAAATTGACCTCTGTTAACGCAAAAGGTAAGAGAATCCGCATGGCGGCAATTTGCACAATTTTGTAGCGAAAGAAATTACGCCATGAATGAAGAAACTTCGGTTCAACAGCTGGCTCATATTAAAAGATTTTGCGTTTAATATAAAGAAGGGTAATGGGGAAGATTACAAAGAAACTGTTGTCAAAATGCTTTGAAACACTGTTGTTAAAAGTTTACAAGAAAAATATTATAAGGAATTTAATCTTATATTTGATCCATTTAAAGACATTGAATTTGTTTGCGCAACGAATGGTTGAGATGCCAACAGAAAAGAGTTGCAATCATGTTTAGAAAAGAGGAAAAGAAGTTCTGCAAGTTTAACACAAGATGAAATAGAGAAAATATTAAATATTTGGGACGAAGCGACTCCTAACGGTCTTAAATGGAAATTTTTTCACTTAGTGGCGTACGAACTGGCATGGCGAGGTGGAGAAGGGACTTACTGCCTTTTAAGTTATTTTCAAGAAGAATATGAAAACTCTGGAAACTTTACGGGCCGCATTAGTTACAATCCACTCTTTTCAAAAACAGCGCAAGGTGGAAATCATCCGTTGCCCCAAAAAAGGTGGCTAGCCGAAAATAAGATGAATCCAAAAAACTGTCCAGTCAGGTAAGAAGTGACCCCAAATAAATTTCAAAATCAAAATTAAAAAATTGTGTGTTGCAGATTATTTAGAATGTTAAAATCACAAAGAGGAAACCATATAACGACAGACAGACTATTTTAAACAGTAAATTCAGCATGGAAGAACAATAATTCAAAGGGCTTCTTTAAAAATTGTCCAGTGGGAAAAAATGAAATTTCCAAATGGACGAAAGAAGCGACCGAATTAATAGGTGTCGACACAAAAAAAAATTACAAATCATTCTAATCGTGCAGCGGCAGTCACCCAGCTTGCAAAAATTAGAATTACGGAAGATGAAATTGTTAAAATTACTGGTCATTCTAGTACTTCGTCTATCAAAAGCTATTTGCAAGTAGATGGAGAGCACCATGAATCAATTATAAAACAAATGCGAATGACCAATGAACATGGCTCCTTCAGCGATTAAAAAATTTTTTATGAGCAACGAACACCGACGTTGTTGCACATTTAAGTAACGAGGGAATTGCTTGGAAATTTATTCCACCAAATTCGCTATACATGGGCGGAATATTGGAAGCGGGAGTTAAGTCATTTAAACAGCATTTTAAACGCGTGGTAGGATCTTTATTGATTGCGCAGGAAGAAATGTACACACTCCTAGCCTTGATTGAGGCATGCCTAAATTCTCGCCCTTTAACCCCAATAAACAATGACTCTAACGACTCAGAGCCCCTAACCCCAGGACATTTTCTTGTCGGGACGCCACTAACAGCTCCGCCGGAGCCAGTTTGCTGTAGCTCCCTGACAACAGGCTTTCGAGGTGGCAACGTATCGAGAAACTTCGGCAACTGTTTTGGCATCGTTAGCAAAGGGAATACCTGACGGAACTTCAGAAGAGGCACAAATGGTGCAAGTCTCCTAGCCAACCATTAGATGTCGGAACGATGGTGGTGTTGCGAGATGACAACGTACCACCGCTGCAATGGAAATTGGGACGTCTTATCGATTTGCATCCCGGCAGCGACGGCGTCACGAGGGTGGTCACCGTAAAAACAGCGACCGGAAGTACAAGACGCGGAGTGAACCGTCTGTGTGTTTTACCCATTGAAACGAATGTTCCGGTTGTGTAGGTAGTGACTAGTTATGTGTTGGCACGACCATTTTAAATTGAACATTGCTATTCTACGAACATATACAAATTTGTGGTTATTTAATGTGTCTTGTTATATCTTGCATCTTTGTTGTATTTGTATTATATGTTTGTGTTGTTATGTTGTATTTCATGTATTTTTACATCTCATATGTAATTTGAATTGCGCAATGCAGTTGTGTCATTATGTCATGTTGTATTGAAAACAAAAATGTATTTTTTCCAAGTGCGGGAGGATGTTAAGACCTGAGGAGAGGGGGTTGCCTCCCACACCCAGCTATCCTCGAGGTAGTAGTAGTATTAAGTCAGCAGTACGACCAAGTACGAGTAAGGGTCGTAATGTAGAGACCAACAGAGTGAAGGTGTTATAAAATATGTGCAAGCAGTAAATAAATGTATAAGTGTATAAAAGGCCGAATTACTGAACCCCATTAAAGGACTAAGGGCATGAGAGACAAGCCAGGAAAAGAGCTACGGAGGTGAACAGGGACATTCGTAGACGGAGAGTGGGTGTATTCTGTACCCGCTTGTTAGCAAGAATATCTGGCCAAATACCCTGATTTGGAAATTCAAGAAACATCGTTAGAGGCTCACATTAGAGACGTCATCAACAGATTTGTTCGCCCTGACAATGTCAACAAAGGGACATCTTCTGGGAGACCTGCAGTATCTGAGAAACTTGTTGATGATTTGAAGAACGACTCGAGCAGAATCCCATCTTTGACAAGATTATCTCAACAGTTAGGAATACTTGTAAGCACATGTCACATAGTAGTAAAAAAACGACTGCATATGCATCCTTACAAAATTAACTACTGTGCAACAACTTTTACCAATAGATCCTCCACGCCGCGTAGAATATTGCAATTGGTTTTTGAATACTTTTAATTCTGACGGGTTACTGGAACTTACATTTTTTAGTGATGAAGTATAGTTTCATTTATCTGGCTATGTCAATTTGCAAACTTTTAGAATTTGGTCCGCGGAAAATCCACATGTTTTTGTAGAGACGCCTCTTCATCCTTTAAAAATTGGGGTGTGGTTGGCAGTTTCTCGTAGACGAATATATGGACCCATTTTCTTTCATGATACTATGACTGGACAGAGGTATAGGCAACAGATTTTGGAACCATTTATTCAACAACTTGATGACGAAGAACTGCAGTGAGGGTATTTTCAACAGGATGGCGCGACTGCACAAACTGCAGCCATTGGAATAACAATAACAACAACATTATGACGATCGTGTAATAAGTTTAGGAGTGCAGCATGCATTTCCACCATGTTCCTCCCCAGATCTTACGCGATTGGACTTTTCAATATTTGGATATTTGAAAGACACAGTGTTTCAACGGCAAATGAATAACTTGGAGAGTTGCAACATGAAATTGAACGATGGGTCCAAAGCATTACAACACATTTTTGAAAGTAAGAAAAAGAGAGTGAACATGTGCCTTGAACTAAATGGCGAATATTTTCAACATTTACTGTGATTAACCACAATAAATTTGTTTATGTTTATTGTATTATGAATTTTTAAAAACTGGTTTCGTAACCAAAGAAAAAGAAGATAGTCCATAATGAAGAGGATGCTGCTACTCTGTTAGTTTTGGATTCAGTAGAAGAAAATCCAAAACTTTCTTTGAGGAGACCCTACAGATAGGTGTCAGCAAATTACATTTACATTTTGCATGCATTTACATTTTGAAGGAATGTAAAATGCATGCCAATAAACCTATTTTTAACCATACCATGGAGCCAGGAGATGATGAAAAGCGTCTTTATTTTTGTTTGTGGATGGGCAGTGAGATAATGGGAAACAGAAATTTTCATCGTAATGTTATGTTTTCCGATGAAGCAACCAACGGCACAGTTTCGTCGCAACATGTTAGATATTATAGCACTACCAATCCTCAATTTACAATTGCTACTAGGCGGTGACCAACCGTACTGTTTTTTGCAGAACAGTACTGTTTTTTCGGACTTCAGTTCTGGGTAAAATTTTTCGTTGTCAAAACCAGTAAATGTTCTGGTTTTTGTAAAATTTTCTGATAGAACAGATGGAACATTGAAAGAGTAATATATTTTATTTTATACAAATATTGATCCAGGTATTAAATTTTAAAAACCGCTGAAAAATCCAACAGTTCACATTTTAAATTTTAACGCACTGTGTTGTGAATTTTTGTCAGCTAACGGCTTATCGGCTTGTCGCTCGTTGTCTTTGTCTCATTTAGTTATGTGTCTAATTAATTTATATGTATTGTTTATTCACTAAGGCTGTGAATTGTCAAAGTGTCTTTATGTTGGTCGCATTGACAAAAAAACTAATAGGAATTTTGAAAAATCTCTTTTGGTAGCAATGCGTTGGCAGCTTATGGTTATAAACAGGGGTAGGAAACCTTAAATGTGAATGTCGTTGAATGCCATTTGATAGTTTGTCTGATGAGCGCAGATGTCGCTTACGTCGAAATGTATTATTTTTACAGAGTCCTGTACAACTTAGCTGCCACAGTGTACTGTATAGCTGTCAACTAAAAATGGACCAGTGGCGTTGCATGAAAGATTAAGTTGTATTTAAAAATAATTGTTTAATAGTACAAAAATATGTATAACTGTACAATATGTCAGTTCTACTCCAATGCAATATGTAAAAATGTATAAAAATGTAAAAACTTTATTAAAATATTAATAAAAAGTATATAAAAAAAATACACAACGGTATTATCTATTTCTTAATATATGCCCACCAAATTTTTGTTTAAAATTGAAAAAAATTTGCAGCATTGCTCAACAGAAATTTATATATTTATATTCCTGCCATTTTGACATTTCAAAAATTCAGATTCTGAAATAGTTGTCTGTGAATAGTTGTCATGTATTAAGAATTTGTCACTGAATTACCAGATGGGCCCAGGCATAATTAACTATTCACCAGAGAAATGGAAACAACAAGACCTTTATTGAAGTTGCGGGAAAAGGTTACACGTACAATAGTATAGGAGGTGCTCATGTAGTTGGAAATTCTTATATTTCTTCCACCATGTCTTTATAAATAATTCAGTAATAGATAGTTGTGCAGTAATAAAGTATTATTCCAAGTGTACAGCATCAGTTGTCCATTTACTGCAGACCCTAGGTTCTTAATCCAGACCAAAAAGTACCTTACATTGTCACATCAAGTGGCAGAACCTTTCTTGTTTGATGGCCCCAGCTGTGAGCATCCAATGAATCCGCTCCAGTTGTCATTTTTCTAACATAAATTAAACCTCAGGTAGAGCTCATGAAAGGAACTTGATAAGAACGCAGAATCTGTAGCATCTACGTTTCTCACAATATTATCAGTAAAATATTTTTCGGCTATTCATGTCCAGAAACGACAATGTATACTTGTTTACTTGTATACTTACATCAAAGTTTTTGCTGCAAATACAACGTCAGTAGCTTAAATTGACTAGAATTTGATTCCAAAGTGCTTTAGATAGTTGAAAGCTAATTAGCTTACCAACCTTATAGTTAAAAATCCACCACTTTTTTAAATTCAGTGGGCACATATTAAAAAATTGATAATATTTTTACTTTTTTAAACGTACGCCACTGTGTGTGGAGCGGTTATGTATAAAAAAGTAAACTGCGTATTTTATGCTGCGTTGTATTTGGTGGTTCTTTGTTCGATTTGTAGCGTTTTGAGTTTTGTGGTGTGTTTTTTTTTTAGCCTTTTACGTACTTTTTAAGTGATTTTAGTGTTAGTGATTAGAATAAACAGACAATTAATTAATAATAGTGTAAGTGTGACAATAAATTTCGTTTATTTGGTAAGAATTTTTGTAATGAAAGCGTTTCAAATTAAAAAATATTATTTTTTACACAGCACGATGACGAGCACATTAGCCAAAAATACTTGTTCTGTAAAAGGCTGCGGAAAGCGAGAGCTACCGATGTACCGTTTCCCCAATCCAAAAACAAACGGGGAACGTTTTCGTAAGTGGGTTCTGGCAGCAAATAATCCTCGATTCGAGCAACTAGGAGATAATGGTATTTATAAAAAGTGTTTCGTTTGCCACAACCATTTTAAGGAAGAGGATAAAATCCTGAATTCGCGTTTATTAAGGAAAACTGCTGTGCCTTCGCAAAATTTGCCGATTGGTAAAAATATCCTTTGAAGTGACATGTAAAATATTTATTACTTGAACTATACAGGTCCATCGTTTGCCACAGAACAGGGAATTGATGCACCATCACCTCCAAGACCATCCCAATCTGAGGAGGACCTAATTTTTAGAACACCACAACGTGAACTCATTTTTATGCCCAGCTCGGTACGAAAACGTGTTACACCATCAGCCTGTAAGTTTATTAATTTTACTATCTATGACCATTACAGTGAAATTGAAATATTGAAATGTACCTAGGTTCACCATCCACGTCTGGAGGTGTATTTCCCAGGAGCGTCGTGCAGAGAACATTATTTCCCTCCATAAGTAAGTATAGCAAAAGTATAATATTGCACACAAAGTAATGAAAAACAAGCATAATTCAACATGAAATAGGTATACAACGCTAGCAATACCAATTATAGTTAGGGTATTTAATGTCTTTAGATATTTTCAAATGTACATCCGTGCATAATGAATGTTCTACGAGCGGTGTGTTATTGTAATATAAAATTCTGAAGAGTACACTTAAAATTCACTGATAAAAGTTTAGTATCCATAGCCTGTCATCAAATTTGAAGTCAAAGTTGTAATTATAGTTCTTTATTTATAAACAATGTCACAGACGAAATTGTACAGAATTATTAGTTAATATATCTCGTACTTAATCAGCAACAATCATGATCTAGGTACACTGTGCCGTAAAACAGTTGTACGTGTTTGATTTAAAAAAAGAAATTTAGTATTGGATCTATAATATGAAATTTACTTATACTTTTTTTAAACATATGGGTGCTGTAATTAAAGTTGAAACATTTTGTAACACTATATTGTTTTAGGTAATGGAGTGAGCAGTAATGAAGAGGGACTTGGTGTGGCGCCATTATCAGTGTTGGACAGCGTCCCAATAACTGGTAAATTGATTTATTATTTGTTAAGATACAGACTAATATCACTATAGTATTTGAATTCTATCTTACGAATTTATAGCAATAACTTCAAGTAACCTGTAGTTACGACACACTTTACTCTGGATTAGAAAAAGGAGAGAATTTACGTTAGGTTAATTTAAGCAAGACTTTACCAGCTGTGTAGACAGCAACAAACTTTTGCTAGGTTAATTTTCAAGAAACCCCTTTTTTTTTTAAATGAGACAGCAAATGAATGACGTTATGTTAAGCATGGGGAACACTTTACCAACAAATTTTTAAACACAAAGAATTTACGTGATATTGTTTTAAGTCACTTTTTGTTCGACAATTTAAACCAACAGAGAAATTATGTTATGTTAGCTTTAAGAACATTTCCCCAACAAATCAGAGCAAACACATTATGTTAGGTTAAGTTTAAGAACATTTCATCAACAAATCAAAACAACAAAGAAGTTTCGTTCTATCAGAGTTGGCCACATTTTATCAACGAAGCTATTTGCATGGCGTCCACCCCCGTCTTTAGATTAAAGTAGAAAATTATTTATACTTAGTTGTATTCGTGGGAGAAACATGTGCTGTCGTTTCCCTTTTTTTAAATAATCACTTTTGAAATTTCAAACTAAAGTCGCCTACTCTGTCACAACTAACAACGTCACATCTCCACGCGTCGACGTCACTAAAAACCAAAATGGCGTTCACTAAACTCCACTCGCCTGACCTCTGGTGCTCGAAACATCGGGAACTTAAAGAAGCTAATACAGTGGCATCTGTTAGACCGCTAGACGCCTCTTATCCTAACCTCAGATCTTTACAACTGGTTGCCTATACTTTGAAGCGTTTTTTTTATTTATTTTAAATTTAAATTTGAATTATTTAAATGCGGTTTCGCGACATTGATTAATTTTCTGGGGGCGCAAATTGAATTCAAATCGAGATATCACAGTCTCATTAAAGTTAAAAGTTATAATATGGTTTAAAATGTTTGTCCGTCCTGTAAATTCTGTCCATATAAATAAATAATCCAAACAACAAGCTCATAGGATTTAGGTAATTTATGTATTTAATTTGTTGCATAACGTATGTTTTTAAGAAAGTGTTACTTGAGGGCCACGTCTGTAAAATTTTTTGAGTTCGGCGAGTTCATGCAGCCGTCTGGTCATATCTGCTTTAATGTTGAAAAATTAACGTATTTAACGTCCAAAATAAATTGACAGAAGCCCCCCTCAAAAGTATCACTGACTATTGCTAGTTTATAAATTAATGTACGTATGATTTCAGGGTCCGTTAAGGCATCGCTAGTGATAGTGTCAGCACCAGCACCAGCACCAGAAATCAGACAGGTGGAAACGAGAGCAGAAAAGACAGGCACGGAATCCACGATTCTTCAACGACTGAAGATCAGAAAAAAGAAGAGTATTTTTAACGAAATTGAATGCAAATTATACGCTGAGGCTCAACGTTTGCAACAAAAAGCTTCCAGATTAAAGAAACAGAATGCAGATTTAAAGACAAACATAAGGGTGGCTTCTAAGTTAAGGAAAAACGAGGCGTTCACAAAATTAAGCGAAAACATGACACCAGTACAGCAAAGATTTGTTCAAAGTCATTTCCGTAATGTTGCAAGGAAACAAAAAGGTAGAACTTTCACTTTTCAAGACAAGGCCGATGCAATCGCAATTTGGAAAAACGGACCCAAAACATATAAACTCTTGTCAAAAATGTTCGTTTTGCCTTCAGTGACAACACTGAAGGCCACGTTGCGTAATGTACCGGTGAAACCAGGCATCTCAAAACCTATTTTCGAGGTCCTCAAGCGGCAAATAAGCCGAATGAAAAAGCCTCAGCACAAGTTGTGCACACTGCTTTTTGACGAAATGGCCATTCAACCTCATTTGGATTACTTGCCGCATGAGGACAAGATCATAGGTTTTGAAGATGATGGTTTCAATCAAACCAGGAACATAGCGGACCATGTATGTGTGTTCATGTTGCGAGGTATTTACAAAAGGTGGAAGCAACCAGTTGCTTTCGCTTTTTGTAAATCCTCAATGCAACCACACAACATCGTCCGCTTTGTTAAGGAAATAATAAAAGAAGCCACAGCAGTCGGTCTAAACGTGATCGCATCGGTGTGTGACCAAGGCACCACCAACGTTAAAGCGATTGGCACGCTTCTTAGTGACACACGAAGGGACGCTATTTTGAAAGGTGAGGAGGTCAAAGAAGGAATTTTTTCAGTGGATGGCCATGAAGTAATTCCATTGTTTGATCCTCCTCACCTTTTAAAAAGTTTCCGAAACAACATGCTCACTAAGAACGTGTCTTTCGTAAAAAATGGTGTTCGCCACGTTGCCAAATGGTCACACATTGTGGATGCTTTCCTTTTAGACCAAGGGCGCAATCTTCGGAGCATGAGGAAACTTTCAAAACATCATGTCTTACCGAGTAAGATAAGAAAAATGAAAGTTTCCTTATGCTCCCAAGTATTTAGTGCTACTGTGGCTGCTTTTATTGACCTGGTTGCCGGAGCAACATTACAAAGGAGTGGAAGGTCTTTGCCATCTGAAGCCGTTGATACCAGTGTGTTGATCAAATTCCTTGATACTGTTTTTGACAGTGTCAATGGAGGGATCGGACATGTTTCTGGGAAAGTGCTGCGAGGAATGGTTACAAGAAATTCTCCTCATCAAAAGGTCTGGACAGAAGCGAAGCGAATGTTTTCCGAGATGGAATTTGTGAAGTCTAAGCCTGCAGATCGAGCACGGCCTCCAGTCTTAGATGGATGGTGTCGTACACTGAACGGTTTCATCTTAATCAAGGAAACTCTCCAGGGGCTTGATTTAAATACGTTTCCGGCAAGAGCGTTTAACCAAGATCCGTTGGAAAATTTCTTTGGTCAAGTGAGGCAGTATGGAGTTAGATACACAAATCCAACTTGCAAAATGTTCCTTCCGTTCTACAAGTCTCTTTTGATTAGGAATTTTTCTTCTTATCATTCCAGTAATTCTAATTGTGAACAAGATGATGATTCATTGTTGGTCACAATTAGAGATTTTCTCTCCCAGAAAGATGTGGCACACGAAGAACTGGCCGATAGGTGGAAACCGCCACCTATTCATGAAGTTGCAAGTGATCTTCTGGACGCAAACGTTTTGGGTTACGTTGGTGGGTATCTTATCAAGCATATTTCGCCGGAGAAATATGCTTGTGAAACCTGTCAACGTAACCTTCAACATTCCGGTCCACCAGATCCCTTGTATCATGAACTGGTGAACTTGAGAGAATACACTAACGATGAAAAAAAACGTCTGCAGTACATGAACGTTGAGGTGATTAAAGTTTTGTGTAAACTTTACCATCAACTCAACGTTCTTGTACCGTCCGGACTTTTTCATCGTCAGTTCTCTCAAAGGCTGATTAGCTACCTTCGCTCAACGAACGATCTTCCGTTTGAGCCTTGTGCTCATTCGGAAGAAGTTAAGACAACAATTTTCGGCCAGTTTGTAAGATTATTTATTTTTGGATATACGAAAAGATTGAGCAACATTATTTTTGGGAAACAGGAACCGCGGAAAAATGATGAGTTGGAAATGGAGCTGTATCAGGTGTACATGCGATATAGAAGCAAGTAAAGAACTTTATATTTTTATAATTTATTATGTAGGTATACAAATTAATCTACGTTGGCATAATGTATTCGAAAAATGGATTTATCCCACTTACTCACTTTTTAGGAAAGGCTAGTCATTACGAATACTTTCGTATCAAGCAGCGAATTTCATTCCAGTTATATATATGTTTTTATAATTATTTATTATTACAATATTATCATTATAATGAAGTGTATTTTGTTTACACTACTTTTTACTTAATGCATCATTGGAATAGTCAACAATTGTGAACGTGCTTATACGTATATTATGTTGCTTGAATTTTAATTGTCGTGTAATAAACTGAACTGAAATATTCACTTAAAGATTTGTTTCGATTTTACTTATGTAACATATTGGACTTATAAGATTTTGTTTTATACTTTTGCGTTGCATCACTGTAAAACGTTTTGTTTTATTTTAGTTTCTTATTTAAAAATCAAAATTATACATGTTATACACCATGTCAGAAGCTGCCCTTTTCATCGCTTTCAATATTTCTCGTTTTTTTTCTATTGTATAACATTGATATCGGTCATGTCTTTAAAGATACGTTATTATAGTTGTTAAATGAACTGTTCATCTGTTATCTTTGCTAGATTATTGTTGCAGACGTTATGTTCTTTAGTATATGATTGTTTATTTTTGGTAGTGTTAAAAAATATGTAGGTACAGTTGCGGCCAATTTAAAGTCGTACACGGTTTTTGAACGTACTCCACAAAAATTTCAAAATTTGTAATGTGTTGATTAGGCTTTAATCAATCATGTAAATGTCATTGTCATTTTTTGACAAAACAGTGTCGGGTAATTTCTTAAAATGCCGCAATTATCTGAGCTGCAAAAATCCATCATTATAACAAGACTAAGAGACCGTGTCCCCATTTAATATATATAGCCGAAGAAGTAAACGTCGACAAAAAAACTGTTGCAAGAGCAAAACAAAAATTTGAGGCAACAGGAAATATTGCAAGAAAACAAGATGCGGGCCGAGCAAAATGCTCAAATCAAAATGATGATACTCGCCTAGGAAACTACCTTAGGCAGCATCCGTTTGCAACTGCAATTCACGCAAAAGTTGCTACAGGTTTCCCAAGCTCCATACGAACAGCACATAGAAGACTAAAAGCAACTGAACTGAGAAATGGTTGTTCTGCTAATAAATGTTTAAAAGCTTCAGCATTTTTTACTTTTTTTTTCATTTTATAGCGGTTTGAGTTTCTTTAATAATTTATTCAATTGCAATCTTTGCAATTAATTTGCACTCCACGACACTGACTTATATGACATTAAAAGACGTTTTAGAAACTTCAGATTTAAGAGAAATTTACAATGCTCAAGTTTTGTATTTGAAAAATTGTACGACTTTAAAATGGCCGCAACTGTACTATACTTTCCAGTGCTTCATTCCAATAATTCTTTTATATACATGTAACTGTAATAGTCATGTGTTATATACATATAATAAGAAAGGTCCACTTACTTTGTGATGTGCACATTTTATATTTTAATATATTCTTTACGCGTTAAAGTTGTTTTTGATTATTTCAACTAGTTGAATAGTTTTTGTAAATTATTGTCTCTTCTGTACAATGTTCTATTTTTATAATATAATACGATTTTTATTACATTATGTTTAAACAAATAGTGTACAGAAGGATACAATAATTTACAAATACTATGAAAAATAAATTATGATTTATTCTACAAGAATCATAGAAGTGTTTAAATGTCCCGCCTTTGACATTAGTTGGTCTGATGAGCTTAGATGGCGCCAACCAACAACAAGTCGGTAACATTGGAGATCAACTTCTATAAAGAGTATATTCTATGGTTATAAATTTGATTCTGGCATACATAACCTTAAAGTAAATAGTAACTAGATTTTATGTAGAGTATGAAAAAAATTATACGAATGCTGGTACATAATACACTCAAAAAATTTTGACACTTACAATTCAAAACGTTGTGAATGGACTTTAAACAGGGTCATTATAAAATATTGTAGTCGACGAAGGCCATGATTTTGGTGACATTATGTGCCGCCTTTTTCAGTTTTGTGGAAAGGATTACACTAATATTGGAATTTTTATTTTTTACGCCACATTAGTGGCTACACTGTTTCGGCGTCAACGCTTCATCAGATTCTGTCGGATGTCAACAATTTTTTCGTTTCTACTGATTACTAGTGCGTTTCCCCACATTTTGTGCGTTAATTGACTTGTCTTGTTGTTATCATTGGCTGTCTTCCCCTTTGTTCGAAGTTTAAGTGTCTCAAAAAACAGTTTTTATCAAAACTACAGATCATTGTGGAATAATCTCAGGTAATGAACACAGAGGAATACCTATAGTCAGTGTTACAAATGACTTTTTTAGGTTAAGAATTAGGATGGTTTATTCTTTAGAGCAAAACACCTTCATAGTGATGTCCTATTACCGTAATGGGGTGTTAAATGAGGATGGAGACTGGGTGTACTCTGTGGATGCCTGTAAAGACGAGTATCTGGTGAAATATCCTGTTGTCATCGAGGAAGAATCTTTGAAGACACACATACGGCGAATAGTGGCAAGATTTAACGACACTGGTAGCGTCTCTAAGGGAAAACCGACGGGGAGACCTGAAGTTAGTGAAGACGTTGTTGACGATTTAAGGACGAGAATGGAGCAAAGTCCGAAGAAATCTTTGTCAAAACTGTCTTTACAGTCCGGAGTACCATACAGTACGTGCCAGAAAGTCGTAAAAAAGAAGTTACATATGCATCCATATAAGATTTCGTTGGTTCAGGAGCTGCAACTAGCAGATTTTCCTCGCCGCGTCCAGTATTGTCATTGGTTTCAAGCTAATTTGGACGATAACAGGATTCTTGATTTGTCGTTCTTTTCTGATGAAGCCTGGTTTCATCTGTCCGGCTACGTCAACTCACAGAACTTCAGAATTTGGAGTACAGAAAATCCTCACGCTTTTGAAGAAACACCATTACACGCAATGAAGGTCGGTGTGTGGTTAGCTGTTTCCAGACGACGATTCATAGGCCCGATATTTTTTCAAGAGACAATTAATGCGGCGAGATACAGGGAGCAAATTTTGGATGTGTTTGTGAGTCAGTTATTGCCTGAAGAATTAGAGTCTGGTTATTTTCAGCAAGATGGTGCTACAGCTCATACGACAAGACAAAATTTAAGATATTTGGAAGAATTTTATGATGACCGCATAATAAGTTTAAGAGCCAATCCAGAGTGGCCCCCCCGATCTCCTGACTTGACTCCACTTGATTTTTCAGTGTTTGGATGGATGAAAGACAGCATTTATAAGAATAGAATCCACACATTGGAAGAATTAATGGATAAAATTACACGTTTTTGTAATGAAAATCTCAATGAAGAAGTATTGCAGGATATTTTTGAAAATAAAAAAAGAAGAGTGGCTTTGTGTTTGCGGGAAAATGGACAACATTTTCAACATCTTTTATAAAATACATTGTAGTGGCCTACTTTGTATTTAAATTTAAAGAAAAGCGCCCCCAACCGACGACGGCGACGTAGACGCTGTGTAAGCAAGAAGGTGGGGAGATTGTGGCGTGGACGGCGCGAAGAGCCGGTGGCGGCAGTTAGTTTTTTAACACCGATCAGACAAGAGGTTGTATTTACAATTGTGTACAGAGCGCTTTCTGTCTGTGTTTTATTGTTTCAGTTTATTCATTGTGTTTTCACCCCGACTGTCACCTGGACTTTTCCCCCTTGCCGTTGGAGCCGCCAACCACCGCTGCCGTCTTCCGTGGGGCTGAGAATCGCTTCTTCGCTCGCGGAGGGAGGAACGTTTGGGGCGGTAAGAACGCTGGGCGTTTGGTCGAATTGGACAGGTATGTGCTTATTTAATTATCTTTCTTTGTATGCAAGCTGGTGCTCTTGAGTGCATGGTTCTTTAGTTGAACATTGTTGCAAGATTATTCTAACGCGAATCTCCGCTTCTCCATGTACCTGGTGCGAACCACCCAGAATGTCGTTTTGGTGTGGAAATCGCCGAGTTACGACCAGGGACCCGCTGTAGAAGATCTCCAGACGTTCGTCGCACGTGATCGTCGTTTTTTTAGTTTTGTTTTCAGTATCAGTAAATCGTTGTCGCAGGGCTTTTCAGGCAATTCATTAGTTAGGATGCAATTCAATTTCATTCATTTAATATCTAAGGTTTTTGGATGGTTTTTCCCCAGTTGTCACTTTTTTCCAAATTTTCATCTTAGGACAATTTCAAATCAAAATTGAATCGTTAAGAGAGGGGGGAGGGGGCGAGCGAGCTAGCGAGCGTGCAGGTGGCTCGCTCAAAATTATCAATGTTTAGGCTAGACGATTTTAATGGGCGCTAATCTGGAAAATCCGCGCTCCCAGATCATTTTTGCATTAGTCAGCAGAGAAATGTCGATTGACCTCAAAAATTATTACTCAATTAGTATCGGAAAGCTGGACCACTGTTTTATGTTATGACTTATGTGTTACCATGTGAATTCTACATATATTTACCATTTTGAAAAGCACACATTCAAAGCGCAATGTGTACCAACCATCATATTTTATTGTGTTGTTTTTGACATGTTTGTATGTATTTTTGTCGACTTTATTTTATGTGCAGTTTTCCGTTTCATTCACATTTTAACGAATTAATTCTCGATTGGGTAAAAGTCCTTGACAAATGTGGCGTACTTAAACTTTGTTGCAATATCCACAATTTTAGTTTGGGTTTGATAGTTCTTCAAGTTTCAAAGATATTAAAACTAAAATTTGTCTAATCAGAAAATGTTCGGGGTTGTTTGGCGAGAGCGGGGAGCGGCCCAAATTCAAATTGATGATTTTTTTTTCATTCGTATGACTGTTTTTGTCGCAATACCGAATGCTGCCAACACGGGATATGCGGAGGGTGTCTTGCTGGTAAAGGAAACTTTAGTGGTGGGAGCCAGTGTCGTGTGTCCCGCGGTGGATGGAGTAAAGTTACGGGATAATACTTGCCGCCGCTGCCTCGGGCGCCGGCGAACACAGGATGGAGATAGCGTGACGTTTGAGGTGGCACAGTGGCTTGGTTGTACGTAGCTGGTTAGAGCGAAAAGACGGTCAAAAGACAAGGTCTAGAACCGCTAGCGCTACACACCCCCTGTTTCTAAATTTATTGAATTAAATTATGTTTCTGTTATCTGCTGACTGAAAAGAAAAGAATTTCTAACACGCCACTATGACAACTGTGGCATGGCCGTCCAATTACTTTAGCTAGAGCTTTCGCGAACTGTTTTTTTTTTCATTGTATGTCACTGCTAGGATTTTGAAAATATTATA